GCCCACTGAACGAAAGTATTATGAATTAAACAGATAGTGTAAGAAAAGATTCCAAATCTTAAGTCCTCGCTTTTAGTTTTTAAAACATGGAAATTAATACTTTATCTGCTTAGTTCTGCCAACAACAAAACATGAAACAGACTTAAAATGTGGGAAAGGGGAGGGAAAAAACCAAACTACTATGTAGAGAGAATGGGGAAGCAGGTAAGGAAGGAGGAATGGCAAGCCTGATCCTCCATATATCTGGCTGGCTGTCTCTGGTCTTCTAGTCAGACAATAAAAAGTTCTGCGTTAGGAATGGGAACCTGCTCTTGTTTCCTCTGCACTGATACTGTGCTTCTGCTACAGGCAGATCAAGGCTATCATCCTATCTTTTTTGTAAGGATGGCAGAACCTGCCCATAGCCTTCAATCTTGACAGTAAGCTGATGGGAAAAAGTTAGAATTTGTAATTTCCCAGAAAAACATCTAAGTAAATTCAATCTATTGTAATTATAAGCCCATATCCAAGTCTGAGCATCTCGGACTTCTGCTTCTTTTACCCCCAAATATAATTTTGCTGTTGGTTTGAGTTTTTTATAGTTTTTAGGATTTATTTTATTTTATGTGACTGCAAGTGCATGCACATTTAAGAACTGGTGACCAAAGAGTCCAAAGAGGTCATCAGATCCCTGGAGCTGGGTTCTAGGTAGCTGTGAGATGCCTGATGTGAGTGCTAGGAACTGAACTCAGATCCTCTGCAAGAGCAACCAAGTGCTCTTAACCACTGAGCTATCACTTCAGCTGGGTTTTTTTTATTGTTTTTTGTTTTTTTGAGATAAGGTCTCACTCTGTAGCCCAGGCTGGCCTGAAACTCACTATATAGTTCAAGGCTGGCCTCACACTCACAGCAATAGAAATCCCCTCCTGTCTCAACCTAGCAAGTACTAGGAGGAAAACTAGGACTAAAGGCATGAGTCATCATGCTGGGTTCTAAAATTTTGTTTATCGTGAGAAAATTACCAGCAATTAGCAAAAGTAAAGTCATTTTCAGATATATAGGTACAATTTCCCAAACCTTCTGAAACAAGAATTAGCTAGGTCTTATCATTAAAAAGAAGATTCCCAACTAGGGATGGTGGTGCACACCTCTAGTCACAGCAGGTGGGAAGCTGAGCCAGGAGAGTTTCAAGTTCAAGGTCAGCCTGGGCTACATGGTACATTCCAGGCCAGTCTGGGCTATCCGTTTATACTAGAAAAACAAGAGAGGTGAGGGAGGAAGGAAGGGTATGAGAGAGGAAGATATTGAGAGAGGCTGACTCCCAAATCCCACTACAAATCGACAACTAGAATCCCCAGAGAGAAATCGAGGAGTCTAAATTAATAAGTACCCTGGGTAACTTCTGTTCTCAGGCAAGGCTGATGAAATACTATAACAAGAGCAACTTCACAGCAGCACAGTAAATCAGAAACCCACAGACTGACCCATAATTCACTTCCTCCTCCATCTACCTCAGCATTATTATTACTAGCATGATGCTGGTAAACATTCTTTATTGTGTGCTGTACCCTGTACAAGAACACTGTATGTTACTTCACTTAATAGTAACAATAACTTTGGGGGAGGCAGATACTGATTTTATCTAGATAGGGAAAGCCAAAGTTTTACATAATTTACCTATGGCCACAGTTTCTGAATAGTTGCTGGTTCAAAAGTTCCCTATACTACAATTCAGGCATCAAGGCATTAAATTGCTTTGAAAACAAATAAACAAACAAACAAACAAAAAAACAGGCTATTTATACTGGTTAGTTTTTGTCAACTTGACACAAACCAGAGTTACCTGGGGAGAGGGACTCTAAACTGAAGAATTTCCCAGAATGGCCTGTAGTCATTATCCATGAAGCATTTTCTTAACTGTCAGTTTATGTGGGAGGGCCCAGTCCTCTGGGGGCAGTACCATTCCTAGGCAGGTAACCTGGGATGTATAATGGTAGCCGAACAAGTTGGGGGAAGCAAGTCAGTAAGCAGTGTACCTCTGTGGCTTCTGCTTTAGTTCCTACCTTGTGTTTCTGCCCTGATCTCCCTCAGTAATGGAGTACCTGGGAACTGTAAGATGAAATGAGCCAGTTCCTCCCCAAGTTGCTTTTGATCATGATGTCTATTACAGCAAAAGAGAAGCAAATTAGGATAGTATTCTACCTCCAATGGTTACTTAAAGTACCCTAAACACATTAGGGCTATGGACCCGAGCTGAGATTATGCTATTAAGCAGAGTCTGTTCTGCGACTAGGCTTTTGTTTTGTAAAAACAGGGAGGACTAGATTAATCATTAAATACTTAGCTTACATTAAAAAGCTCAATAACAGAGAGAGTGCCAAAACTAAACTGACAATTACACATAAATTCTATTATTTTGTTAAACACTATAATATTTAGAGTCATAAGACAGATTCCCACTATGAATCATAATACTCAATTTTGTTTATTATTCACATATCCATTGTCAGATTTAGAAGAAATGACCTTGAAAGAGAATAAATAAATGTCATGAGAGCTACTGGATAGTATGGTTATATCTTAAAGCATAATCTACCATAATTTATAGCCCAATATGCACAAATACTCTATGTATATAGCCTAAAGAAATTATATACATATATACCAAGAGACACATACAAAAAGTATTAACAGCAGCATCATTTAAAATAGCACCCTAAACATTCCACAGGAGAGTAAGTTGTGATATGCTCATATAGACACAAAGCTCACAAAATGCTGAACTAAAAAACAAAAATTGTGAATGATTACCTGTCATGTGACACCAATTAATTCTAAAACATACTTGTTTATGGGTACATAAAAAATTAAGTACATAAAGAAATACACAGAAATGTCAAACATTAAACACCAGATTCAAGACAGCTTTGAGGGAAAAAGAAAAGGCAAGATAGAGTTGGAGCCACTGGCATTTCCCTCCTCACAAACTTTCACCATGTTTTCTTTCTTAAAAAGAATGATGGCAGGTATACAATGTGATATTTTAAATAAACAAGCTAAAAATTACAGCAAGCTCTCCAAATTTATGGGCTCCACATCCAGAGTCCATCATCTATGAATGGAAACTATTAAGAGGAAAAAACGTGAACTGAACATGCACAGACTTTTTTGGTCACCATTCCCTAAATAATACATAGAAAAACTATTAACGAAACATTGTAAGTAGTCTAGTGGTGATCTAAAGTACAGGGAAGATGCACATAAGTTATATGCAAATACTCTATCATTTAATATAAAGGATGCATGCATCCCTGTGGACTTGGTTTTGGTTTTGTGAGCCAGGATCTCTTTAGCCTAGGCTAACCTGAGCTTACTCTGTAAACAACATTGGCCTTGAACTCACAGTGATTCTATTGCAGCTTCCCAAGTATTGAGATACAGGCCCTGTCCCTTGTGGATTTTTTTTCTTTTTTTCAAATCCACAGAGGTTCTGGAACAAATCTCCCATAAATAATAAATGCTATCCCTGATAGAAATTGCAAATGTAAATCGACAGTACAAATGTTTTCCTTAACAGAAATTGCTGGGTTTTCTGGAGATCAAATACAAGTATTAACCATTCTTTATGAGTCCACCTACCAGTAAGAATTCTCTATATTAAGAATAACATGTTAGGAATTGTTCATTTTTATGCCTAAGAATCCACTAGAAAGTGGGGCCCATCTACAGTAACAAGATCAGGGAAATAGGAAAGTAAACTGAAAGTAAATGGACTACTTCTTTGGAGATGGAATTGAAAAAAAAAAAAAAGAGAAACCACAGAACAAACTAAATCACAAAGCAAAAATATGGTCAATACTGTCTTTGATATAAAGTATTATTACTTCTTTTCAGAGTACTGATGTAGAATACTAATAAATCCTTTAAAGACCCTTGTTGGACAAATATGTATTTATACAAACAAAACAAAACAAAGCAGAAGAAAAGCAACTGATCCAAGGTCAAACGGACAATTAACAATTAAAAAAAAAAAAGTTGAAAATAAACCCAGCTTCCAAACTAGCTGCAATAAATTAATTAGAAGGTCAGTAAGTTATTTTTCTTTGGTGCTAATCAAAGACTATGAAATAAGGAATTCAGGACAACAATCACTGGTACTGTATTTTAATGCAGAAAACTAAAGTATAACTTTGTTTGGTAATATAAAACTCACTTTCCATAAAAGTAATACTTTAAGGATTAAAGTACTATACCAGTGCCTACAACCAATGGACAAAATCCTTCAAAAACAACAAAAATATATACTACATAAAAATCTATTTCTTTATTTCCTCCCCCTTTTATCTTTAGTACTAGTCCTTTAAAAAAAAGGTTCAAACTGGAAAGAATATTTGAGGAAGAAGCTGAAAGAAAGCTGGAGTCATGGTAAGTTCTTAAAGGTAACAGCAATGAGGTTCTTTGTAGGTAAATATCACCCAAGAGTATCAGAGATCCGAGATAATTTGAGACAGAGAAGGAGATTCTCCCTGAGATAATGGAGGTAGAAAGTGAAAGAAAAGGGAAAGAGAACTTAATTGGGGAGGGATTAACAGGGAGCTGCAGAAGAAGCAAGGGCAGTGCTGCAGATGAGGAAGCACCACATCCATGGCCCCTATCCAAGCTTCAAGGTGGCTACTGAAAGGTAATGCAGGGAAAGAACTGGCCAAAGAATATGAGGACATCTTGGCTGCTTTTTCATAAACTGGGCACTTTCAACCCAAGAAATATATCTTCTGAAATCTACTAATGCCTAAAACTTACATTTTGTTCTTATTTTTGCTTCCTTCTGATTAAGAAATAAAATGACATGTCACTCAACTCTTTTTAGTTACAAAGGGCAGCCTAGAGAGACACAATCATTCAGTGATGAATTGCTGGGGTACATATGGCCTGCTCTCCTTAGCAGGGTCTACTACCAGGAGAGATGGCTGGTAGGATACATGCATATTACATCATTAGAGAAAGGGGTAGGGGAAACCAACCTGCCTCTGCATTCAGCTCCTCTAGAAGCTCGCTGGTCCTCCAGGTAGCTCCTGTGTTCTGGCCGCCTACTGAATTACTGTGCTCTTGAACTACTGCTGCCGCCAATAAATTGTCCACATTTACCACTTCTGGGTCAGAGCTGGTGTCAGACATATCATAATGAGCTACAACTGGAGGTCCATCTAGGGAGGAAAGAAAATGTATACTTGTATCTAACTTGTGGGGTGAGAAATACCTCTCAAACTAAGCAAGAGCCCTCCAAAGGTCAGCTGCCTTAACCTTATTATTGCATCTGACTAGAGCTTCACTTTGTATATCTAGTATTTTGAACATGATGCTAAAGTAGAAAAGATGACCCAAGTTTTCAAAGATGAGGGATATGTTTTGGAAAGAGGAAAAGGGTATTACTTACTATGAAGAACAGAAGACAAGACTAAACTGAACAATGTTACACTGAATTATTTCTAAAGAACACAGATTAAGAAAAGGTGATGATTCCTCAAAGAAAGTGTGTATGGGGGGGATCTGAAGTAAACTGTTGAAATCTAATTTAATGCCTTTAGAAAAAGGAATCTAGTTCTTTTAATAACTAAAATTTCCTAGTACATTTGGAGAAGAAAATCCAATGTCCATCTTCCTACTTACTAATGAGGTCAACACTAGAGCTCTCCCTAACTAACTTATCAGTGAAGTCCTTTTACAAAAACAGGGATGTAACACACTTTACAACATTCTACAAAAAGACAGGACCACAAAACCCATTTTCTGGATTTGGCTTTGAGTATCTTAGAAGGAATAGGGATATTTACATTTCTTTTCCCTGCGAAGGACAGGCTCACATCCCAAGCAAATGAGAGCAATCTTATGAGTGATCTTAAAGGAAGCTATGAACATTCTTATTGGAAAAATAAGAACATCCTCCCAATCCCAAATTACCCTAACTGTGAGTACCAAAGTCACTATACTACAGCAATTCATGCTAAAATAGCCCAATATTCATGCTTACAGAACAGATACATGCTTTATAATGGTATTGCTACCCTTTTCCTAACATGGTAGCAAAAGTAAAAATAAAGTTTCATTCAGAAAATCTCTCTACTCCCTCCATTACAAAGCTGCAAGGAATGCTGTGTCCTTTCTAACAGCTATTTATGAAGTACAAGCAAACCATTTATTTCCATATGGATTTTTAGTATCATCCAACAAATGAATATTAAAACACCTATTTTATGAAACTCTTGACTATGAACATGTGTTTCAATGAATTAAAAAAAATCACACAATGAAGGCTTATTGTTTCAATATGTACATCCATTGTGTAAACTGTCACTGAACAAAGTAGGGAACACACATGGGGTATTTGTCCCTTAAACTAAACCATAGCTTATGTGGCAACATTTTTTAAATTAAAAAAATGATCAAACATAGAAGCAAATGAGTTGTCAGATGCCACTGTAGAAAGAACAGATATTTCACAATATGAAATTCTGACGATCAAGGCAATTTTAGTTGACTACTTAAAATAATTTCCAGTTCATCAACGACCCATAAAAATTTAAAAGCTGGTAATGGATTTTAGTTCAAACAGAAAAATTTGTTCATGTTTAAGGTTTTTCTTTTCTAAAAAAGAAAAGAAAACTGCATCATTCTATGAAGTTTTCGTCAGAGTTCAATATGACTATTGTGGAATCAAGATACTGTGTGATGTTCAAATACTTAGGTATAGAAAGTACGAAGGCCAAGTACAATGTTGACTATTTGACCACATGTTCTTTCTCTCTCTCTCTTTTTTTTGGGGGGGGTGTTATTATTTAAGACAGGGTTTCCCTATAGCCCCAGCTGGCCAGGAACTTGCTATGTAAACTGGGCTGGCCTTGATTTCCCAGAGATCCACCTGCCTCTGCTTCCCAAGGGCTGGGATTAAAGGTGTGCACTACATCCAGCCCCCTATGTTCTACTGGGAAAGTTTTGTGGATTTCTTCGGGTGTTTGCAATGAATTATTTACTAAATTATTTTAAAAATTACATCACTAATACCACTCAAAGCTGTTACCCACATACTCCCTACCTCCCCCCTTGAGGAAACAGGTCAACAGTCAAGTCAAAATTGTACTACTCCTACATGTATAATCATGCAAATAAGTATAACTGTATGTATACATGCAGAGTGACATCACCTACCCATGGAAATAACTTGTCTGAAAGTCTTCATCAGTAGAAAATACAAGCATAAGCTTGTTATCTGGCTTCATTCTTGTATCTTCCATATTTCCAAACAGCACACCTTATAACTTAGCTTAAATTTAGCATTTATCATAAACAAAGAGAACAATATTTTCATATTTTGCAGTTAAAATAATGATCACTGTCGTTTTTCATTTCCACCTTACTTGAACAATGACAAGTCAGTACAAACTTTAATAAAGTAAAGTAGTCTTTCCAGCTTGGTCTTTCCATGAGAAACCAAAATTAAGGATGCTATGTTCCAAAGTCATCTCATGCCTGTCATTAGCAAACCAAGACTAAGTAAGTTTAAAGCACCTGCATAAGGGTTAAGAGCTCTGTATCAGTACATGGTATTAGCTAAATGGTGGTGAAAATTAGTGATAGTGTTTTAAAGTGTAATTCTTGCTGCACAGAACTGTGAAATATGTGAGACTTTATAATGATTGTCTGCTATTTAATTTTTTTAGATTTTTTTTATTGACTATTTTTTCTAACATTTACTGTGTGTACATATGAATGTGTGAGTGTGGGAGGGTATATGTGTGTATTTGTGTATGTGCCATGGTGCACATGTGGAGGGCAGGTGAAAGGATAATTTGCTAGAGTCAGTTCTCTCCTTCCACCATGTAGGTTCTGAGGATCAAACTCAGGTCAGGCCTGGTGGTAAGTGCCCTAACCCACAGAACCATCCTTTACATGCCTTTTTTCTCAAAACATCTCTTTAAAGAAAAAAAATCAGACCATTGAGCAGCTAGGAAAACTCAGCATGTTAACAGAAAGACCTAACACTGTCAATTCATTACTGCACAGAACATACAGGGATGTTATCTCTGCTCTCGCTTGATTATTCCTATAAGCTGTTAGGGCAACCAAATTGCTACTGATAAGCTCTTTTAATTTTCAAGAACATCAAAATAGTCATTTCAGGTAGGTATTCATGGAAACACTAAAAATTTAAGATTCAGGGAGCTGGAGAGTTGGCTCAGCAGTTAAGAGCACTGGCTGTTCTTGTAGAGGACCCAGGTTCAATTCCCAGCACCAACTTGGCAGCTAACAACTGTCCATAACTCCAGTTTCAGGGGATCCAACACCCTCTTCTGACCTCTGAGGACTACACGACATGGGTGTACTTACATACATGCAGGCCTAATACACACAAGATAAAAAGTGATAAACAAATAAAAAAATATTCAGTCATCAACATAAAAGCGTATTCCATGCTACAATAGTTATCCAAACTATATCCTCCCATTTGCTGAGACCCATAACACACTTAAAAACTAACCTATTAATAATTTGCAAATTTTTCTACAATAATTAAAGCATCTCTTATAAAGGTAAATCTAACACAATTAGTTAATAATATCAATCTGTAGTTTATCCATGTGCTGTTTTCCTTGTTGATTTTTTTTTTTTTTTTTTTTTTTTTTTTTTTTTAAAAAAAAAAAAAAAAAAAAAAAAAAAGAGGACGATAAATCTTTCACTGTGATAGAACTCACAAATCTACCTGCCTCTGCCTCCCGAGTGCTGGGATTAAAGGCGTGCGCCACCATGCCCGGCTCTTGTTGATTTTTTTAGGTGAGGGACAGAGGATCCTCCTCTCCAGTGCCAGGATTACAAACAGGCATCACCACGCCTAGTTAATTGAAAATTTTTAAGCATTTTGTAATTTGTTGCAATCACAAAAGAAGAAAATCTTAAAATAAAAAAATCCACCAACTTCCCTTTATTTAAGACCATCAACTCAAGGCTGAGGGTATAGCTTAGTTGTAGAGTGCCTGACTATCATGCAAAAGGACCTGAGTTCAATACCCAGTACATACACACACCACCACCACTACTACCACCACCAGTACCACCACCACAACCACCACCAACAACAACAAAAAACAGCAGGAGAAAAGTGGAGGGACAGATATCATACACAGCCTCAATCCAGGTAATGAGACGCAAAAAGTGCTAGTCTGAAAAGTGCTAGAGGGGCTCTTAGAAATCACCTAGCCAAAGAACCTCATAAAGTTAAATAGGTGTGTGCAAACATGCACAGTGACTAAGGGCATGAGGGACTAAGGGAAAGTAGAAAACATCAAGAGATGCAGAAAGAAAATTGCATTTTAGTAGAATCTACTTTTTCTTTTTTGGTTTTTGAGACAGGGTCTCCCTGTAGCCCCTCATTGCCCAGAAACTGGCTATGCAAACCAGGCTAGTCTCAGTCTCACAGAGATCCACCTGCCTCTGCCTCCTAAGTGCTGGGATTAAAGGCATGGGCCACCATTCCTGGCCTAGAACATACTTTTAAAAACACTGGTTTTATTACATACTAGAATACCAAAGTAAAAATTTGTAAGTGTAAATGGCAAAAATACTTAAGGGATACTTAGTCTGCCTTTTGATTACTATCAAAGAAACAAAATATGTACAGAGCTGTTTGAACAAATTAGAAAGCAGAGAAAGCATCTCAGAAGAGATTTACATCAACAGAAGACAAAAATCAATATGGAAAAGTGTTAGATCCAGAAAAACAAACCTTAAATACCAAGAGCTGTGTGCATAAATTGCTTGCTGTCTTCTTAGAACCGCACCATAAAGCTATTCTAATAAAAAGTCAAAAAAGGGCTAAACAGAATTTCAATGTGACATGTACTGCATTTTATGTTGAGGAATTAAGCCATTTTAAAAACAAAATGACTCAGTGTCTACATTTTTCACTGTACTCATCTTTTTTTTTTTGGTCTTTTTGAGACAGGGTCTCCCTGTAGCCCCAGCCATCCTGGAACTCACTATGTATACCAGGCTGGCCTTGAACTCAGAGATCCACCTGCCTCTGCCTCCCGAGTGCTGGGATTAAAGGTGCATGCCACCACGGCCAGTTGTATTCATCTTAATTATTAAGAATTTAAACTTTATAAAGTTCCCACCATGGACGGTTTTAGGAATTACTTTGTCATCTTAATTA